AGACAGAGTCTTGCTCTGTCACCCAGGCTGGAGTGCAATGGCGCGATCTCGGCTCACTGCAACTTCCGCCTCCTGGGTTCAAGCGATTCTCCTGCCTCAGCCTCCAGAGTAGCTGGGATTACAAGTGTCCACTACCAGGCCCAGCTAATTTTTGTATTTTTAGTAGAGATCTAGTTTCACCATGTTGGTCAGGCTGGTCTCGAACTCTTGACCTCAGGTGATCCACCTGCCTTGGCCTCCCAAAGTGCTGGGATTACAGGCACGAGCCCCAATTACTCCCTGTAGTTACATGGGGTCTCACTGTTGTCCAGGCTGCTCTTAAACTCCTGGGCTCAAGCAATCCTCCCACCTTAGCCACCCACAGTGCTGGGATTACAGGCGTGAGCCACTGCGCCCAGCCTGAATATATTATTATTTTTGAGACAGAATCTTATTCTGTTGCCCAGGCTGGAGTACAGTGGTATGATCATATTTCACTACAGCCTCAACCTCCTGGACTCAAGCAGTCCTCCCGCCTCAGCCTCCCAAGTAGCTGGGACTACAGGTGTGCACCACCACCCAGCCAATTGTTAAAATTTTGTAGAGACTGGGTCTTGTTTGGTTACCCAGGCTGATCTTGAATTCCTGGGCTCAAGTGATCCTCCCACCTTGGGCTCCCAACGTGCTAGGATTGCAGGCATCAGCCATCACACCCAGCCTGGATATAATGATTTTTAATAAGCAATTTTGGTCTCCCTGGTGTCACTAGGGCACCAGGCTCAACATTTGCCATGAATGGAGAATAAGCAAGAGGAACAGAGATGTAACTGTATGACCTGCGCCGAGTCCAGGCCTGGGGACCTTGGTTGAGTCCAGGCCTGGGACGTGCTGTCATGGACGAGGCCTGCCTACAGCAGGGGAAGGGGGCGCGTGAGAATGAAAGAGGCTGGTGCTGTGAGCTCATGAGGACTTTGTCCGGAGAGCCAGGGTGCCACCCTACAGCCTGATGAGTGCTTGACCAGGGTTGAGGTGAGGAAGCAGCTTGCTTTTTGAGAAGGTGGGGGCCTCTGGGTGGCCGCAGTTCCTTGCCCCAAGGCACACGAGGGGGCTGGGCTGGCGGACATCGGGGTGGAGTATGCCTCTCAGTCCTTCTCTTGATCACCTGTGTCCTTTCTCAGCAAATGGTGTCTGGGGCCAAAGACCTGGTGTGTTCCAAGATGTCCAGGGCCAAGGATGCCGTCTCCTCCGGGATGGCCAGCGTGGTGGATGCGGCTAAGGGAGTGGTCCAGGGAGGCCTGGATACCACTCGGTCTGCACTCACGGGCACCAAGGAGGTGGTGTCCAGCGGGGTCACGGGGGCTGTGGACATGGCTAAGGGGGCCGTCCAAGGGGGTCTGGACACCTCGAAGGCTGTCCTCACCGGCACCAAGGACACGGTGTCCGCTGGGCTCACGGGGGCAGTGAATGTGGCCAAAGGGACTGTACAGGCCGGCGTGGACACCACCAAGACTGTGCTGACCGGCACCAAAGACACAGTGACTACTGGGGTCATGGGGGCAGTGAACTTGGCCAAAGGGACTGTCCAGACCGGCGTGGACACCTCCAAGGCTGTGCTGACTGGCACCAAAGATGCTGTGTCCACTGGGCTCACGGGGGCAGTGAATGTGGCCAGAGGAACCATTCAGACCGGTGTGGACACTAGTAAGGCTGTCCTAACAGGTACCAAGGACACCGTCTGTAGTGGGGTGACCGGTGCCGTGAACGTGGCCAAAGGAACCATCCAGACTGGCGTGGACACCACCAAGACTGTGCTAACTGGTACCAAGGACACCGTCTGCAGTGGGGTGACCGGTGCCATGAACTTGGCCAAGGGGGCCGTCCAGGGGGGCCTGGACACCACCAAGTCTGTGGTCATGGGTACAAAAGACACAGTGTCCACTGGGTTCATGGGGGCAGCGAACGTGGCCAAGGGGGCCGTGCAAACTGGGCTGAACACAACCCAAAATATCGCAGCAGGTACAAAGGACACTGTCTGTAGTGGGGTAACTGGTGCCATGAACTTGGCCAGAGGAACCATCCAGACAGGCATGGACACCACCAAGTCTGTCCTCACTGGCACTAAAGACGCTGTGTCCACCGGGCTCATGGGGACAGCGAACGTGGCCAAGGGAGCTGTCCAGACGGGTGTAGACACAGCCAAGACCGTGCTGACCGGCACCAAGGACACAGTGACTACCGGGCTCATGGGGGCAGTGAATGTCGCCAAAGGGACCGTCCAGACCGGCGTGGACACCACTAAGACCGTGCTGACCAGCACCAAGAATACAGTCTGCAGTGGGGTCACCGGTGCCGCGAATGTGGCCAAAGGGGCCGTCCAGGGGGGCCTGGACACCACCAAGTCTGTCCTGACTGGCACTAAAGACGCTGTGTCCACTGGGCTCACAGGGGCTGTAAACTTGGCCAAAGGGACTGTCCAGACCGGCATGGACACCACCAAGACTGTCCTAACCGGTACCAAGGACACCGTCTGCAGTGGGGTGACCGGTGCCGTGAATGTGGCCAAAGGGGCCGTCCAGACTGGCGTGGACACCACCAAGTCTGTCCTGACCGGTACCAAGGACACTGTCTGCAGTGGGGTCACCGGTGCCGTGAACGTGGCCAAGGGGGCTGTGCAAACTGGACTGAAAACGACCGAAAATATCGCTACAGGTACAAAGAACACCCTTGGCAGTGGGGTGACTGGTGCCGTGAATGTGGCGAAAGGGGCTGTCCAGACAGGTGTAGACACAGCCAAGACCGTGCTGACCGGCACTAAGGACACAGTGACTACCGGGCTCATGGGAGCAGTGAATGTCGCCAAAGGGACCGTCCAGACTGGCATGGACACCACCAAGACTGTCCTAACCGGCACCAAGGACACCGTCTGCGGTGGGGTGACCGGTGCCGCGAATGTGGCCAAAGCGGCCGTCCAGGGGGGCCTGGACACCACCAAGTCTGTCCTGACTGGCACTAAAGACGCTGTGTCCACTGGGCTCACAGGGGCTGCAAACTTGGCCAAAGGGACTGTCCAGACCGGTGTGGACACCACCAAGACTGTCCTAACTGGTACCAAGGACACCGTCTGCAGTGGGGTGACCGGTGCCGTGAATGTGGCCAAAGGGGCCGTCCAGGGGGGCCTGGACACCACTAAGTCTGTGGTCATGGGTACGAAAGACACAGTGTCCACCGGGTTCATGGGGGCAGTGAATGTCGCCAAAGGGACTGTCCAGACCGGGGTGGACACCACCAAGACCGTGCTGACCAGCACTAAGAATACAGTCTGCAGTGGGGTGACTGGTGCCGCGAATGTGGCCAAAGGGGCCGTCCAGGGGGGCCTGGACACCACCAAGTCTGTCCTGACTGGCACTAAGGACGCTGTGTCCACTGGGCTCACAGGCGCTGTGAACTTGGCCAAGGGGACTGTCCAGACCGGCGTGGACACCACCAAGACTGTCCTAACCAGTACCAAGGACACTGTCTGCAGTGGAGTCACTGGTGCTGTGAATGTGGCCAAAGGGACCGTTCAGACAGGTGTGGACACAGCCAAGACAGTGCTGAGTGGCACTAAGGACACAGTGACTACTGGAGTCATGGGGGCAGTGAATGTCGCCAAAGGAACCATGCAGACTGGCGTGGACACCTCCAAGGCTGTGCTAACGGGTACCAAGGACACCGTCTGCAGTGGGGTGACCGGTGCCATGAGCATGGCCAAAGGGGCCGTCCAGGGGGGCCTGGACACCACCAAGGGAGTGCTGACCGGAACCAAAGATGCAGCGTCTGCTGGGCTCATGGGGTCAGGGAACGTGGCAACAGAGGCCATCCACACTGGCCTCAGCACCTTCCAGAATTGGTTACCTAGTACCCAGGCCACCTCCTGGGGTGGACGCACCAGTTCCAGGACCACAGACAATGGTGGGGAGCAGACTGCCCTGAGCCCCCGAGAGGCCCCGTTCGCTGGTGTCTCCAGGCCCCCAGAGATGCTCAGCGTAGGCCCGGAGCCTGTCTGGGAAGCTGCAGCCACAACCAAGAGCCTTGCGACTGACGTGGCCACGTTCACCCAAGGGGCCGCCCTGGGCAGGGAGGACACAAGGCCTTTGGCCACCACACACAGCCCCGAAGAAGCCCCACGCTTGGCGATGCTGCAGAATGAGTTGGAGGGACTGGGGGACATCTTCCACCCCATGAATGCAGAGGAGCAAGGTGAGGGGATGCCCGGGTTCAGGCACAGCTGCTAGCGCGCTGGCCCTTGACTTTTTTTTTTTGAGATGGAGTCTTGCTCTGTCACCCAGGCTGGAGTGCAGTGGCACAATCTCGGCTCACTGCAATCTCCGCCTCCCGGGTTCACGCCATTCTCCTGCCTCAGCCTCCCTAGTAGCTGGGACTACAAGCACCCGCCACCATGCCTCGCTAATTTTTTGTATTTTTAGCAAAGACGGAGTTTTACCATGTTAGCCAGGATGGTCTTGATCGCCTGACCTCGTGATCCGCCTGTCTTGGCCTCCCAAAGTGCTGGGATTACAGGTGTGAGAGACCGTCCTCAGCCGGGCCCTTGAGTTTTTTTAAAAAGACGTATTTATTTGGTTTGGGCTCAAATGATCCTCCTGCCTCAGCCTCCCAAAGTGTTGGGATTACACATGAGAGCGCCTGGCCCTTTTTCGTTTTTTTAGAGACAAGGTCTTGCTCTGTCGCCCACACTGGAGTGCAGTGGTGTGTTCATAGCTCACTACAGCCTCAACTTCTTGGGTTCAAGTGATCCTCCTGCTCCAGTCTCTCAAGGAGCTAGGACCACCATGCCCGGCTATGTATTTTTTTGTAGAGACAGGTCTCCCTCTGTTGCCCATGCTGGCCTCAAACTCCTGGGTTCAAGTGATCCTCCAGCCTCAGCCTCCCAAAGTACTGGGATTATAGGCATGAGCCACTATACCCAGCTTCATTTTTTATTTTTACTTATTTTTGAGGCAGAGTCTTGCTCTTGCTGCCCAGGCTGGAGTGCCGTGGCACAGTGTCGGCTCACTGCAACCTCCATGCTTCCCGGGTTCAAGGGATTCTCCTGTCTCAGCCTCCTGAGTAGCTGGGATTATAGGTGCCTACCATCATACCTGGCTAATTACTAAAAATACAAAATAATAATAGTAAAGTTAAGGGTTCACCATGTTGGCCAGGCTGGTCTCGAACTCCTGACCCCAGGTGATCCACCCGCCTTTGCCTCCCAAAGCGCTGAGATTATGGGCGTGAACCACTGTGCCCGGCCTCACTTAACTTTTATAAAGCCCAAGCCCCAATGCTCTGAGGGGCTTCTGGGACCGAGCAGTGCACCTTCCTTTTCAGCTCAGCTGGCTGCCTCCCAGCCCGGGCCGAAGGTGCTGTCGGCGGAGCAGGGGAGCTACTTCGTTCGTTTAGGTGACCTGGGTCCCAGCTTCCGTCAGCGGGCATTTGAACACGCGGTGAGCCACCTGCAGCACGGCCAGTTCCAAGCCAGAGACACTCTGGCCCAGCTCCAGGATTGCTTAAAGCTGGTAAGAGCTTCCCCTACGGCTGCCCCTTCCCCAGGGCACTTAGAACCCCTGCCCAGGACTCACTTAGCTGCAGATACTGACTGAGCGTCTAGGAGACGATGCCATCAGCACCACCAACAGCCATGGGTCTGCACTCATGGGGCTTGCCTCCCGGCAAGGGTGACAGAGCTAGATCAGATCTTTAAAGACAGCGGGTAGCCGGGCGCCGTGGCTCACACCTCTAATCCCAGCACTTTGGGAGGCTGAGGCATGCGGATCACTTGAGGGCAGGAGTTCGAAATCAGCCTGACCAACACGGAGAAACCCTGTCTCTACTAAAAATACAAAAATTAGCCAGGCGTGGTGGCGCATGCCAGTAATCCCAGCTACCTGGGGGGCTGAGGCAGGAGAATCACTTGAACCCAGGAGGTGGAGGTTGCAGTAAGCCAAGATCATGCCACTGCACTCCAGCCTGGGTGACAGCAAGACTCTGTCTCAAGAAAAAAAATAGAGAGAGCGGGGACACAAAGATAGCAAAACAATCTGTCTGCAGAGGAGGATGTGGGCTGAGCAGGAAGGCCGTCCCTCTGGGTCCCGTCCTGACTGATGGGGAGACAGCTATACAAAGCCCCCCAAAACCAGGGACAGGATAGCAAGCTACCGGGGAGCAAGCTGGGTGTGTTCGGGGGTTGAAAGGCGGCACTGTGGCTGGGGAAAGTGAAGCCGGGATGGGATCCAGGGAGCCCACAGGGCCTGGGGCAGCAGTGCACGCAGGAAAGGACCCAACTCAAGGTGACTCAGATGCACCCAGGGGTCGCGGGCCCTGGCCAGAGTGGTCCTCTCCTCCCACTGGCCCCGCTCTCTTCCTGGGGCCTAGGGTCTCCCCTTTGGCAGTGTGGACATTGGGGTCGGATCATTCTTTGGGGTGGGGTCATCCTGGTCCCTGCAGGGAGCTGAGCAGTGTCCCTGGCCTCCAGTCTCCCCCTTCCCAGTCCTGAGGGTCAACATTTGCTCTAGATGCTGTTGTGCATCCCTGGAGGCAGAATCTCACAGGACTGCTCTAGAGTTTTTTTTTTTTTTTGGTTTGTTTTTTGAGACAGAGTCTTGCTCTGGCTGGAGTGCAGTGGCATGAACTCGGCTCAATGCAAGTTCTGACTCCCAGGTTCACGCCATTCTCCTGCCTCAGCCTCCTGAGTAGCTAGGACTACAGGCGCCCGCCATCACGCCGGGTTAAATTTTTTTGTGTGTTTTTTAGTAGAGATGGGGTTTCACCATGTTAGCCAGGATGGTCTTGATCTCTTGACCTCATGATCCGCCTGCCTCGGCCTCCCAAAGTGCTGGGATTACAGGCGTGAGCCACTGCGCCTGGCCGGGTTTTGTTTTTTGAGACAGTGAGACAGGGTCTTGCTCTGCCACCCAGGCTGGACTACAGGGGCTCGATCGTGGCCCACTGCAGCTTCGAACTACTGGGCTCAAGAGATCCTCCCCGCTAAGCCTCCCAGGTAACTGGGCAACTGGCAAGACCACCATGCCCAGCTAGTATTTATTTGTATTTTTAGTAGAGATTAGATTTTGCTATGTTGCCCAGGTTAGTCTTAAACTCCTGGGTTCAAGTGATCCTCCTGCCTCAGCCTCTGGGTGCCTATTACCACACCTGGTTAATTTAAATTTTTTGTAGAGATGGGGCCTCCCTATGTAGCCCAGGCTGGTCTTGAGCTTCTGGGCTCCAGCGGTCCTCTTGCCTTGGCCTCCCAAAGTGCTGGGGTGACAGGCATGAGCCACCGTGCCCAGCAGTGACACCTTTTACGTGTTGGTGGACAGCAACCCCACCCCGGCGGGCCGTGAGAGACCTCGAGATGCTGCCCTCGGTCAG